TCCCAGTATTTCTTAATATTGCAAAGATCTTCCTATTAGTCTACTGCAGTAAAGATGTTAAAATAAATATGCATTAAGTATAAGGTGAGCTGCAGATGAAAACTTAGAAACTATTTCTAAGTTTTCTAGAAAGCCATAATATTGCTACATTACCACATTTCCAGATGCAAAGTTTAAAGAGAAATTTTTCTTAAGTCAATTTAGAAGCAGCTAATATATATAAGAACATTAGAGATTAGAAGCACTTAGGAGATTCACTCAGTACCCCCACATCAGTGGCCTGCCAGAAGAAGGAAATGTCTTTTTTCTGGTTACCCAAATTACTCACTTCAGTTCTACTTTTCTTTGTACATACAATGTTTGGCATTCAATTAAAAAGTATAAGGTATGCAAGGAAGCAGGAAAATATAACCCACTGTAACAAGAGGAAGTCATCAACAGAGCCAACCCACAAATAGCCCATTATGTTGGAATTATTAGGGATATTTAAATAATCATTAAAAAATGTTAAAGCATCAAAATATATTTGATTTGGTGATATATATTACCCACACTCTGAAAGCAAAGCAAGACAAACCCCAAGCAGGATAAACACAAAGGAAACAACATCTAGGCACCTCACAGTCCAACTACTGACAAAGGTCAGGATAGGGTGAAGAGAATGGGTAGTAAGTGCTTAATGGATATGGGGTTTATCATGGGTTGATGAAATGTTTCAGAACTATACAGAGGTGATGGATACACAGTATTGTGAATGTACATAATGCCACTGAAGTTATTTTAAAATGGTTACTTATATGTATTTTACATCACTTAAAAAAAATTAAGGGGAAAAAAACAAATACATAATTCTCAAAGATATAAAATGGCCCTTAAGCATATGAAGATGTTCAATTTCACTCATAATGAGAAATACAAATTAAAAGTATGCTAAAATACAATTTTCCATCCATTAGAATGGCAGAAGTTCAAAAGCTTGGTAATATAATGTTTAGCAAGGCTGTGAGTCAACAGTCACTTTCATACATTACTGGTAGGAAGACAAAACAGTACAACCCTTATAGGGATGTGTGGCAATAATTGCAGCAGACAGGTTCTAAAGTGGCCCCCAACACCTGGTGTTCACACCTTTTTTTATTATCCCCACCCTTTGGTGTGCACAGGGACCTATGACTTGATTTAACGGAGATGTCATTCTTGTGATTACCTGTGATTATGTTACATTATAAAAGACTCCACTAAGAGCGTGCTTGCTCTAGAGACTCTCCTTGCTGGCTTGATAAAGTAAGTGGCCATTTTAGGAAAGCCTGTAAGACAAGGAAGTACAAGTGGCTTTAGGAGCTGAGGAGGGCTTCCAGGTCACAGTCAACACAAAGCTAGGGCCCTCAGTTCTACAATCACAATGAATTCTGCCAACAACAGAGTGAGCTTGGAAACAAAAACTTTCATAGGTAAGCCTCCAGGTGAGAACACAGCTCAGTGGCCCTTGATTACAGCCCTGTAAGACCCTACACAGAGGACCCAGTTTAGCAAAGCCCATTCTTCTGATCCACAGAAACTGTGAAATAATAAATGTGTGTTATTTAAAGCAGTTAAATTTTTGGTAATTTCTTGCATTGCAATAGGTAACAAATACACAAACCATGATATATATGCATTTACCTTTTGGATGCAGCAATCCCATGTTTAACAATTTACACTAAAGTACACTTCTGGTGGGGGTATCCAGGGGAGGGGAGATGAGGAAGTGAAAAAAAAAAAGGATATACATCCAACAATACCAAAATACACATGCATATGGTCATTAATTGTGGCATTATTTATAATTGCAAGATACTGCCAACTATTTGAATAATCAAATATAGGGGATTAGCTAAAAGTACTCTATAGCTATAGAATGAAAAGTAAAGACTGAGGAAGATCTGCAAAATGCAAAATAAAATACATGGCATGCTACACTGCGTGTGTGAAAAAAAGGGGTAATTAAAAAGAAAAAAACATCTGCATGCATCCATAAAAAACAAAACAAGAAGGATAAATAGAAATAAATGACAATGATCACCTACATGGGATGTGCGATTAGGGGTGAGTGGGTGAGATCGGGTATAGAACAAATAGGGGAGAATGACACATTTTCTGAATATTACGTTTTTGTCTAATTTTATCTGGTCCGTGAATCAAAAAACAAAAATAAATTAACAAGGATTGGTCAGGGTGTCTGTGTGAGATGTGTAACAACCTTAAAACTAAAAGCATCCAGAAACAAACATAAAATGTACTGAATTTCAAAAAAAAACATAACCACACTGAGGGTAGGGGGAGTTGAAGGGGAGCTAATTTCAGTAAATTGTGAAGATTATTTTTATTAAATACCCTTAGTTTAGGGGAAAAATAATTGCCAGCAAACCCTGAACTCCCCCCCGGCCTCTTTTTTTTTTAACAGTAGTATAGAGGTAGCAATTCTGAAACCATTATGTATTACAGGACTGAGTAAATGTACTAATGTTGTCAGAAGCCAGGCAGATATCAAGAAAAGGCAGACAGATATCAAGAACAGATGAAGCCAAGGAGGAACCCTCTGGGGTTGAACTGGGATTGCAGGGATCTGTATGAACTAATGATTTCTAATATGTGTGTGTGTGTGTTTGTGTGTTCTGTCTACTGAAAGGCTAAGAAGCAATGACACCTTAGTAACAATGAACAAACCTAGTGCCAGATCTTGGATACTACATACCATTCCACATTGAAAGGAATCAGGTTTTTGTAAAAACATCCAATTCCAGGACTGAAGTAGGGAAGATACAAGATGGGACCAAAATATCTTATTGTGCCAGAGATTAATGAAGTGCTCAAAAAAAAAATTATTGAGGCATGTCAGAAGGACATAGGAGCCATTTAAAGGGACTCCTGCTGGCTAATGGGGGCAATTTGAACAAAATAAAAAAAGAAAAAGTAATGCATTATAACCCATTGAATAATAGGAACCATGAGTTCTTTCTCCTAATTGTTTATAGATTCAGTGCAATGGTGACTGACAATTGTAGAGTTAGAAAATTACCACTCCACAACCATCATAGGACAGATTCGTTCATGCAGGAATCACCAACACCTGAAATTCCAAGGGGAAGAAAGTGTGAGGAGGAAAAAGAAGGATATTAAGTGCATGGTCTCAAAGTATCTCCCTAGAAACTGTTTATTAGTTTCAAGGGGAGAAATAGTAACTAAACAGCAGAGAAACTAGGTAACATCCTGATGGGGTCATCAAAACTAAATAAATTGTTGACAGACATTGTATGTCTCTGAATGTAATATCCTGAAAAGGATGTGACATCAATTATGCATAACTTCTGCAGAGGACATATAATCTACATCTAATCATGAAGAAACATGAGACAATCTCACATAGTCTATAAAATAACTTCCTTGAATTCTTCAAAAATATCAATGTCATGAAAGTCAAACAAAGATCAAGGAACTGCTCCAGATTAAAGACTAAGACATACAGTTAAATGTAAAACACCATTCTGGACTGGATTCTAGACTAGACAGGAAAGTAAATTTTATAAAGGACATTATCAGGATAACTTACAAAACTTAAATATAGACTACAGATTAAGAAACAATATTGAAGGTTAAATTTCTTCAATCTGATAACTGTACCTTGCTTATCCAAGAGAATATTCTTTTCTTAAGAAATAAACTCTGAAGGATTAAATGGTAAAAAACATGATAAACACAAATTGATTTCTCAAATGGTTTAAATAGTAGTTGTATATATGTGTGGTTTTAGACATATACAGAAAGCAGAGTAAAGAGGGAGGGAGGGAAGGAGGAAGAAGAAATAAAGCAAATGTCAAATGTTAAGAACTGCTGCATTCAGATAAAGAATATGTGCGAACTCTCTGCATGATTCATGCAGCTTACATGTAATTTTGAAATTTCAAAATAAAAGTCTAGGAGAGAGAGAGAGAGAGAGAGGAGCCACAAACCGATGTGCATTAAAATTTCTGAAGGATATACCCAACTTAAAATTGCCAATCAATGTTGAGGAGAAGGAAAGGAGGAAAAGAAGCCTCTCCACAAAAACCCTTTAAATGATAGACTGAATTGCATTCAGTGGTTCTCTTTAAATATACCCTCTAAATCAGGGGTTCTTAACCTGGGACCCATGGTCCCAAGAGATCTCTGGACAGAATTCATCGGCTCTATGAAGGGGAAGGGGAAAAAAATTACACTTAATTTTTATTAATCTTCAGCTGATAATTTTCCTTCAATTATGAATGCAGGTGACAAACAGAAGCAGTTTTGGCAGTTATCTTTGACTTTATCACCAATAGAAATCATATATTTTCACTTTACATTAGTTGTTACGGTTTTCAAAATAACATACTATTGATTATTTTCAAAATACAGTAATTACGCTTGCTGCTGGATTTTATTTACTACGGTATGTGATAAAAAGAATGTTATATCATAAACTTGATTTTTAATTATCTGGATAACTGCATTTCAAAATACCTGGTTTCCTTGTATGTCTATGCATTTTATTTTATTCATGTATGAAAGTTATTCTGAAAAGTGGACCATGGGCTTCAGACTTCTCAAGGTTTCTATGGCACAAAAAAAACATTAAGAATATCTGCTCTAAGCTACTGATCCCTTATTTACTTACAAGTGTGTCATAATGAGGAAAATTAAAACAGCTTGCAGCTTTTTTCTCTACCATAAAGCACATTATAAAAAGATAAGACATCACTAATTAACAAATATTCAACCTCACCTTCTCATTTAATTTCTAGGTAACTTCCCTCAGTTCTAGAGCAAAATTATTCAAAATATTAACTGTAACACTGAAGAACAAATTTAACACTACATACCCACACATGGAAAAAGACAGGCACACAACACCTATAAAAATGAATCAAGGCCATGAAATGTCTTTAGAGAAAACTTAGTGCTTACATATCTTAAAGAAAGGTTAAAAACAAGATACTATTTACCATTTCTCCTTTGGAAAATTTTTTAAAATTTCTTTAATGATTGGCTGGTAGCAGGCATCCCTTTCTGCTTTCCCAGTTTCACTCCAGTCCCTCACAAACTGTTTCAATGTGGATTTTAATTTATCCATATCAAATGTAGATGCTGGCATAATCTTTCCATTCCCCTGTTTAAAAACAGAAATCAATTAGTTTCTGAGAAAGTAAGCAATCTTGAATAAGGTTAAGTAGACATGCTACTAAGGGGTTCGGTAGATGGTTTAGTGGATAAATCACTAGTCTCTCACCTCAACGGGGGTTCAAGTGCAGCTTGAGATCCTAAATGAAAAGAGAGTTTGGGGGTCTCACTTCTACCCTCAATAGATTAAGGTCCATTAATCATGAAACCACCAAATAATTAAGGAGCCTTTCCTCAGGACAGGACCAGAACTGAGCTGCTATGGAGACCGAACATCCTCCCTATCTGAGAGAGACAAGAAAGTCCCTCCAGGTCACTGGGGGGCAGCGTGGGGAGGCTCACACAAAGGGGTCCAACTGTATCTATCCTGTGGACACTAAAAAAGGACTTCATTTCTATTACTACCAGTCCCTTGAGATTTACAAATGAAAATAATTTCTTAAAGTAAAAGAGTATCAACAGATATAAGATTCTGAAACTAATGAATTTGGCAAGGGAAATTTTACATAGCTAGGAAAGGTATTTGTAAAAATTTGAGTCACTAACTCTATATGCCAGAACAGTATGTGAAAAGTGTATCAAAATGCCAACAATTACCTTAGTATTTTTAGAAAGGAAAGAAAAAAAATCAGTGAACAAATACAGTTTCTGTCACACTGTTCTATTAGGTCTAATTAAATGGTTGAACATGTAAGTGAAAACATTCTCTAAGTAGAGCAAATGACCTATGAAAAATTATAAAAAGGAAATCCAGAAAGATCTCAAAATATAGAGGTCAAACCCTAAAATGAAAACAAATAGAAGAAACTTTCACATACATCTTCTCCATATTCTTTATTTTCAAACATATGTATGCAATCATTCACAATGCTCAGTAGTATTTCTTGATTATGGTCAATGCATTTCCGGATCTTGTCCAAATGAAGAAGAAACTGAGGAAGTAGTTTCTGCTGATTAGCTGGAAGCGATCGAAATTGTCTTTCTGTTCGGTTCACTCGTTCATGCATACTGGTGCTAAAACATAAAAGGTGTTTTTTAAATTGGCAAAAGAATTCTCACCAGAGGCCAATTTTATTTAAGGTTGTCTTTATCAACAACTATTCTCTATAATGCTGGACACTGTTCTATCATTTACAATCCTTTTGGCTTTTAAAAGGAAATCAAATTATAAAGTTTTATGTTTTCACCTTATTATAAATTCTCTAAGCAACCAAACAAAAGACAAATAGTTTTTAACTAGTAAAAGTAAACATCTGCACCAATGGGGGGACAGAGGAAGAGGGGAGGACACATAACATAAACAGGATCAATGTACAATTAGTTTATTTTATGAGTTCAATTTCCAAACTTAAAATTTCCAGGATATCCAGCTAACTCCTTTAGATTTCTCCATCAAGTAGCAGAATACCACTCTGCTATTCCTTTAGAAAATATACAAAATGTGTCTTGAAATTAACTAAGAGCCAACCAAGGCAAAGTTTTAAAAACATCATACAAGATCTTATACACTACAAAAGTAGTAAGCAAAAGAAAAGTTGAAATTATACAGCATTTTATATGACACTACTAGAAATCTGCATTCCAAAAGTTTCCAGGTAATTCTAAAGGTCATCTTGGGGACTACTATTTATAAAATCTAAAAAGAACATCATTTTAAAAGTTAAATATTACACTCACAATGATATTCCCTTTTACATCAATCAGATGAACAAAATTTAAAAGTTTGAATATATGAAATACTGGCAGAAATGTACAATAAGAATATTTATACAGTGATTAATGATGGGTTTATAAATTAGCACATCTACTTTGGAAAATAGTTTATTTAGTGTTACCTTGTAAAGTTTAATGTGCACACTCCCTATGACCTAACAGTTATTCTTCTAGACACATACTCAAGAAATTTTGCAAATGGGCACCATGAAACATGAACAATCTTCATCACAGCACTGTTACTAACAACAAACAAGAAATCTGAAAACCACCCAAAAGTCCATCACGGTAATCTGAATGAAGAAAGTACATTACAGTCATATGGAATGCAGTCAAATTAATAAATCAAAATTATACATAATAATATGGATAAAACTCAGAAACATAGAATGTTGGTTGAAAAAAGAAACTGGCAGAAAAATATATAATGTACAATTCCATTTTATATAAAAATAAACAAGGAAACAAAAACTCAGGAGTGATGTTCTTTAAGGGGAAAGGCATGATTTTTTTTCTTAATTGGATGGTAGGCTCATGGGTGTACACTTATTCTTTACATTTTACATATATAAACAAAAAATAAATGTATATGTTTCTTTTAATGTTCTTCGGCATTTACTCACTATTTAGTAAAAATGAAAAATACTTTTTCATTTGGTTGCCTGAATCTAGTATTCACCCAAATAATTCCCTCATTTTTACTTTCTTATGCCCAATTGCTCTCCAATTTCTGAATAAAAAGTTCTGAAGAAACTCTTGACAAAGTTAGCAAAAACCTGGCCATGTTTTTGGAAGCTTGTGTGTGGTGATTTTCGGAAGGTGGGTGCTATTAGGGAGGGTGCAGAGAGGGAGGAGTAATGTGAAAAACCCAAGTTGGCAGTGGCTGCATTGATGTTTGCTTTCTTTTCCCCCTGGAGACGGTGTAATAATAGTGAGCTCTGGAGTCACACATTGGAAATCCAATCCAGGTTATGCCACCTATTTGCTATGTGATCCTTGGAAAGTTACTTCCATTCTCTGTGCCCCAACTGCCTCACACTCAAACACAGGTAATATATAACAACAGTGATGATAATGAGTAAAAAGCTATCATTTATTGAGACTTAATAAATGCCAGACACTAAATCAAGTCATTTAACACAGACTATTCTGAAAAATCTCCATAAAACCCTATGGAGGTAGGTACCATCATACTCCTCTGCCTACCCATGGTGTTTCACTGAAAATATAACAAAATAATGCACACAAAACATCTCGCCCACAAAACACAGTTAAATGCACAAATATAGTAGGTATGTCTAATTTATATAATACTTGTTCAGTGAAAATACGAAAAATGCAGAAAAGTAAAAGTACTCAGGGAAAAAAGCTACCCAATAATCCCACTTCTAAAGGCAACCACTTCTCACTTTTTGGCATTTTTTTCAGTTTTGTTGTTGTGAAGACAAAGTCATCTAACTCTTTCCTAGTCAAAATGTGGTACATAAAACAGCAGATCATTTGGAAGTGGTTAGGAACAGAGAATCTCAGGCTCAACCCAAGACCCACTGAAATGCAATCTGCCTTTTAACAAGACCTCCAAATGATTAACATGCACACTAAAGTTCTAAAAGTATTTGTTATTCTTCATTCTTATCAAAAGAATTTTCCTAGGTCAGAAAAGAAGTTCTCAAATGATGGTATGACAAATGACTATAATGACCATTCATCCTCCTCTTATGCAACCAAAGTTTACTTAGCTATTTCCCCAAACACTGGGTATCTAGATACTTTCACTTGTCTATTAAGATGAACTTTTTGAGTTCAGATCTGTCTATATTTTAGAGAAAAAAAAATTGTTACAAATTCCCAAAAGAAGAATTACCAGGTCAGAAAAGATAACTATTTTTAAGGCTCTTGATACAAAGTTTCAGAAGGACTGTATTAATTTGCATTCCTATCAGTAGAATATAACACTAAAGGAACTATAAAACTGGCCATGATGTGTTAGATGCACAGCAGGGTTGCGGTAGTTTTCATTTCACTATCAACAGGTCAGTCTCACAGGTCTTCATTCCTAGCATTCCTGGGCACTGGGGGCTCTGCAGCCTCTGCCTCACATCTTAATGCTCAACATATCCAAACTGAACTTAGTATATGTCCCACCAAAAAAATCCTACACTTCTTCTTTATGTATGTTGGTTGCCATAACAACAAGCAGGTCCACGATGGCCTCTAACTATGAAGGTAAACACAGCATCAACTGCCCAGCAAAAAAAGGCTGAGTCTAAGCCAGGGCCTACTGAAGAGCAGAAAGAGGAAACCTGGGAAGCTTTTGATGTCTTTTATGCTGATGAAACTGGGACCACAGATGTTAAGGAACTTAAGGTGGACATGAGGGCACTGGGCTTTGAACCCAAAAAAAAAGAGATCAAGAAAATAACTGAAATCAATAAAGGACAAGAAAAATGAACTTTTGTGACTTTTTTGACTGTTGATGACTCAAAAAATGTCTGAGAAAGACACCAAAGAAGAAATCTTCAAAGCTTTAATGATGACATAACTGGTAAGATATCATTCAAAAATCTAAAACATGTAGGCAAGGAGTTGGGTAAGAACCTCACTGGTGAGCAGCTGCAGGAAATTACTGATGAAGCTAATGGAGATGGAGTAGTCAATGAACAAGACTGCCTGCATATCATGAAGAGAAAGATCAGTCTCTTCGTTTCTACTGCAAGCACACATTTAGTGCCTGCTATTGTATGAAACCTGGTTTTTGGGAACACAAACTATTTTTTCTCTCACTGTCCTCCCTGACAAGGTTTAGTAACAAACCTGAATCTGTTAAGACTTTTTAAAATGTTTTCTGACAAAGTTCCTTGTATGGTGGCCTGCTGATTCTGTAAATTCTCCAGAGAGCAAGGGTCTTGGCATTGTCGTCCACCTGCCACTCTGCTTTGCAGTACTTCACTCTCATCACACGCCCCCACACCTGCACAGCCACAGAACAGCTTGTTGGACGAGTGCAAATTGTGCTGCTGCAGCCCCAGGCAGGAGGGCATCTCATCCAGGGCTCTGGTTTTAACTGACACCTGAGTGCACCTTTCTCTTTTATAAAACCCAGTGACCTCTCTCGCTTGCATTTGAATGTGTTTGTGCCATTTGTTTTGTCTTAAAAATAAAGACTTTATTATTTTGAAACTAGCAAAAAACACACAAAAAACTTACACTTCTTTAGAAACTAATGAATTATCCTAAAACTCCTCCTAGCCCAATTAGTAAGCCCATATCCTTCTGATTCTACTTCATAAAACTATCTGCAAATTACCCACCTCCAATGCCTTACCTCAGCTATTTGTTGTCTCCCTAAGACTGAGAGGCCTGCTTCCCATGGATACTGTCCCCAGCCTAATTCTATCCCCAGATCAAATGAATTCTTGTAAAATACAAGTCTCATCTTTGCCTCTATTTAATCTGAATATTTCAGCATATGTAAAAAATTATCAATACATATTCAGTTATGCTCCCAAGGCACCACTTTTGGTTCTCCACAAAGGCTACTTACTTCCATGATTGGAGGGAAGCTGAGTTAAGTTATGGATTTGTCAAAAACCCACACATACTTGCTGTTAATTAATCCCTGATGCACAAATGATGTATCTACACAGAGCAGGATGAGATGCAGCATATCCTGTAACACCTGGTTTACTTCATGGTGTGCAAAGCTGTCTGTAACGTACATCCACATGACTTCCTTGAAATAAAGGAGATCTTACCAAAGTTAAGAAAAGGGTCCAATCCCTACTACACCATTGTAAGTGGGGCTAACTTCACTATTTTGGAAATGCTTACACTATTAACATGCTTTAACACAAGAGTAGGCAAACTACGGTCCCCTGGCTACTTGGTCTGTTTTGTAAAAAGAGTTCTACTGAAACACAGCCATGCCCATTTGTTCATATATTGCTTATGGTTGCTTCCACACAAGGGCAGAGTTGGATAGTTTTAATAGAGACCACTTGGCCCTCAGAGCTTAAACTATCCATTGCCTGGCACTTTAAAAAAAGCTTGCAACACTGCTTTAAAGGAAGGTTTTACAACCTTCAGACTCTCTTCGGTTCTGAACTCAGCATCAAGAGACCCCATCCTCTGGTTGCCAGTGGTAGAAAGCAAAGTCAGCAGCCATATTTCCTCAAGGGAATCTCAACCTCCAGTTCTCTCTAGAAGGCTGGTTTCGGCAGGGGTCCCAATTCTGACTTAGTTACCTTTCATCAGGGCAGATTTGATGCTGAATGTGAATTCATGTCACAAAGGTAATCAGATTCTAAATAACTTAGTGAATGATTTTGGATTTCAGGCCAGACTACCACAATCTGGTTGTGTAACCCTGGCAAGTTGCTCACGTGTTTCTACGCTATTCCCCTCACCTATAAAAATAACCTCTACATCTCTATTTTAAAACTCACCTAAATCAGAATTTCTAAAAGCAGAATATTTCTGACAAGACCTTTGATTTTTCAATTGCAGTATTTTCTATGTGACCAGATACCTTCATTCATAATGAGCGGTATTTTAAAGCCAACTTGTTCTTTGCTATTCAGTATATTTACCACACTAAGAATATATCATTCAAGCAAAATCTGTAAGAAACACACAACTGGAAGCCATTGGAATGGGAAGACATTAATCAAAAGATATTTCTTGCCCTATGACATTTAATCTAAATCTCCTATAGACTGACTGAAAAGCACCTAGCAGTAAAAGCAAACCATCCAAAATTTGGAAGGAATAGATAGAATAGGACTGCCCATCTGAACTTACTATGGTGATGGAAGAGAGGCTGTCATGTCATCTGTGCTCTCCAATACAGCAGACACTAGCCACATGTGGACACTGGGGACTTGAAATGTAGCTAGTGAGCCTGAGGAAAGGAACTTTAAATTTTATTAAATTTTAATTAATTTAGCTTAATATAGCCAGAGGTGATTAGTGGTTATAGTATTGGACAGTGCAGGTCTAGAAGATTATAAAATGCAGAAATGTAACAAACCAGTCTGTTTTCTGCTACACAATACTTTTCATACCCCTAGTCCCTTAAGCGATACTTTTAAAAGCATATTTTCAATTCTATACTACTTTTCATCTAGGAATTTGAAGTATTTCATCCAGAATATACATGCAAATAAAAAGGATTGTTTTAAGAAAATGAAATTTTCCTCAATCCCACACTAAACTGGTAAAGAGGGAAAAGAGTATAGGAAACTATCACAACCACTAGAAAATGCACATAAGCTACAAGCACCCTTTCCTATACTGCCACAGTTGGGTCCTAGTTCGAGGTCAAAGTCCCCACTCCCCATGATGAAAAGACCCATCTGATACTTAATCATAAATATCAATTCTAAGTTAGTCCTGATATATTAGAACTGGGTTCAAACACACATTTTAACTAAATGGGTCTATCAGATTTCCAGGACATTTTCCAATATTCTTTCTAGATCTTTAAACAATAAGATGTTCGGGACTTTTCTGCACCTACCACTCTTTGCTATCTAATGTCAGCTGCCTCCCTTCCCTGTACGGTTCTTGCAGGCACAGTACTTACATCAAATTCAATTCTCTGGTTGTCTGCCTTCCTCCTGCTATTGATACTAAAGTGAAATCCCCATACTAATTCCATTTTGGCTCCATAAATAATGCAATACAGGGTTCATATGACTGAGTCTAATTAATAAATTATTTCACCAAGATCTCTAAACTTCAAAAATTAATGTCACAAAGGTAATCAGATTCTAAATAACTTTAAGCTTTTATTAAGCAAGTTTCCAACTCAGAATCGGAACTAAGTTACCCATAGTCACAAAATTCTCTGGAATGACAAATGTATTTCTTTGCTACTACTTGTTATATTTGTTAAAAATAGAGCTTCAATAACGTATGCCAAGCACTGGTGGCATAAAAATAAATAAGGCTCTGTTTCTGCCCTTGAAGAGGTCACAGTCAGGCAGTATAAAAGAAGTTTGCATAAAGCAGAGCAAGAACCCATCTAGGCCAACAGTTTTACTTTCGTGGGAGGTCTTGTCCGTCTGGTTCCAATTGCAAACTCAGAACAGCGGTCGGTGGGCTCCTATCTTACAAGAATAAAAGTGCTAACTTTACCTGAAAACCCATTTGATTTACGTACCTCTTAGATCTTGGAATTCTAATTTTGTGACTAAGCTATTTTCATCTATCTAAAACGAAGAAAAGTGGAAGGTAGGAAGTTTAAAATTCCTAGCATAGTACCCAGCCCACAATGAAAAATTTGATACATATTTGGAGAATAAATCATACAAACGGCTCTTCTCGTGTCTTCTCTCATTGCCTTCCTTAACAATTAGCCAATTTTAGAACATCCAGGCCACCTTCGACCTTAATTTCAGCCACAAGTTAAAAGGCATTGAGGTGCACCATTCACTTGCTCACTACCAAGTGCCTGTACGGTTCACAGAGCCAATGGAGGTAGGTGGTCATCTCACGCTGCTCGCCCAAGAACAACACTTTGGGAAATACGTCCTAGAACATCCCACGTGTAGGTGAATCTGGGCTCTCCATGTGTTCAGTTTGGAGGACATCAGCAACACATACAAATCATGCCCCTCACTGGTCGATTTTACCACCACCTTCTTCTACCTGAAATTGTTAGAGCACTTCACGGTCACCCCAATGGCCTTAAAGCCAAACCTTTAACGAGGGTTGGAGATAAGAGAGCTAATCCGATCCTGCGGTTGAAAGGCACGAGGCTGAGCAGCAGATAGCGCGGCAGACACGCTAGTGAGCAGAGCCGGGAGGGGCTAAGGTGGTGCGAGGTGATGGGCGCCCGAAGGTCAACCCAGGCGGCCCGGTCCGTTGCCCCGGAGGCGTGGCAGCGGAGCACGAGCGCGCCCAGCGTCCCCGTTCCCGCGAGTCCGCCGCAACCAGCGGGAGCCTAAACGGGCTGGCCGGGGTTCCACGCAGGCTCCTTACCCGTAGTAGCGGAAGGCATTAATGATCTTCCAGAAGTGCTCGCGCTCGAGCCTCTCCTCCTCTTCTTCGGTGCTGCGCGCGGCCGCCGCCGCCGCCGAGGCCAAACGCCCAGCGGAGAACTGCACTTCCACTTCCTCGCTACCGCGGCCGCCGCCGCCTCCCCCGCAACCTTCCGGCAGCTGAGAGGCGGGCGGCGGAGGGCGCCGCCGTCGCTGCATCGCTGCCGCGGCCCTAGGCCTGGCTCGCTTGCGTTTCGCCGCTACTGAAAGCGTGGTGGCGGCTGCTCGGCCTTCCTCTAGACGGCGCCCGCTGCGGACATGCCCCCAGTTTGCGACGCGCTCCGCCCCCGCCGCCCTCAGGTCTCCAACCGCGCTAGGCTCCGCCAGGTATTCAGAGCGCCCGGAACAAGTGCGCATGCGTATGCCAGGGTACGACGGAGGAACGCGGCCGAATGCGCTCATTTGCTACCAGGCTTCGGCGACGACGCGCCAACGTCACGAAGACGCGTCTACAGGGCGGGGCCAATGGCCAAGTGGGTGGGGCCAAGGAGGAAATCTGGTGGGGTGGGGCTGGCACCTGCCAGAGGCCGCATGGTTGGGGTTTAAGAGACTTCGCGTGCTGGATTGTGGAACAGGCAGCTGAGTTTAAAGCTAAGAAGTGCAAAGGAAGGAAAAGCAGAAAAAAAGTTCAGCTTTAATGAATTTGTCAGAATTTTTATTTCAGAAAGTCTGCAAAGATTTTGCATTCATCCTAATTTAAGTTTTAATTCATTTCCAAAATGAGTTTCCAGTTTTAATTACTTAAGTGGACACCTTTTCAGTGTTTAGGGGCCTGAGAAAATCCTAATCCTGTTCTGACTGGTGATGGCAACAGATGAAGAAAACACAGGAACCTACCTCTATCCAGTACCCGCTCTTTGGAAGACCATCAAATGGCAGAGATGCTAAAGCCTCAGCAATGTGCTAATAGCATCTAATGGTAGCCCTTAGCAATGACAAACTTAAAACTTCCTGTTCACCAGCGTTCACGTTTTGCCTCATCTCTTTCTGGGTTCATGGCTAAAATGACTTTTAATGTCATTCCCAGGAAATAACTCGTTCCGTTTAATTTAATATACCATTCAGCAAATGAAGATTACAAAACAATGGTAAAAGGGAAAGACTGTTTTACTCAGAAGTGTTAAAAATGCTCAGGTACCACAAATCCTGTTAAAAACATATAATCATACCGAAAATGAAGGGCTTCCTATTTTCATAATTTAACTGAAGTAAAAGCAATGTTTAAAAAGTACTGTGGTTATTCTATATTAATGTTACATTTTTATACAAGGTTTTAAAAAAATCTTAGCCTTTATTTTTTTAATAGTAATGCACTAATACATGGTCAAAATTAAAAAGGAAAGTGAAAAAGGTTAAAAACTTGAATTTTCTTTATCCCTCTTCCTAACCACCCATATCCCTTCCACAATTCCTTGACCATTCTTCCAGGTTTTATTCAGTGCCTATTTTTCTTAGTGACTGGTGCTTGGAAGTTATGTATAAATTCTCATGTTATTAACTGTTAGCAAAACTTTTTTCATATCCAAATACACAAATTATATATATAGTAATTTGTGATATGTATTGATATAGGTCTGAATGACCTAAGTGATATAGGCCAGATGCCATGGGTAATGATAACCAGCCACATACATTTCAATGGCCTGGGAAGTATAATAAACATTTTCACATTAATTTCCTATGTAGAGGTTTACCTGGTTCTGTCTTGTTACTTGTTGAGAATCTTAGGGTCTGTGTCATTCAGGCACTTTTTGACATGTGTGTATAGTTAGGTAACCATTGCCCAGATGGTTTTAAGGCACTTTTAGGGCTTTCTAACCTCTTTCTTGCAATGAGTTTTTCCTATAAGAATCTTTCCAAACCATGGAACCATTTGAGCTGAAATGTTTTAATCAGAAGGAGGTCAGTTAATCTCCAGGAACTGATAACCAAAAAACACTATTATTCTTTTTTTTATTCTGAAGAACTGGTAGTTAAGCAGTTAAAGCTCACACATTCATTCATACATTCATACACTGCTAATGGGGATGTGAAATGGTACAGCCACTGTGGAAAAAGCAGTTTCTTACAGACTGAACATCTGCATACCATACAACCCAGCAATTGTACTCTTCGACATTTATCCCACAGAAATGAAAACATGTGCTCACAGAAAAACCTGTACTTGAAAGTTTATGGTAGCTTTATTTGTAAAAGCCAAAAATTGGAAGCCACCCAAATGTCCTTCAGCAGATGAATGGTCAAACAAGGAATGAACAATCAATATGTTCAGTGACTTAGAGGAATCTCAAGGGAATTATGCTGAGTGTGGGGGGGAATCTCAAAGGGTTACATATCATATAATACCATTTATATATTTTGTCTTGAAATGACAAAATTATAGAGATGAAGAACATTAGTGGTTGCCAGAGACTGGGCAGGGGAGGGAGGGAGGGAGGGATCTGTAGCTATAGAAGGGTAGCACAAGGGAATCTTATGATAGAACTATCCTGTATCTTGACTATGGTGGAGGTCACATAGATTTATGGATGTGATAAAATAGCATAGAAATTAATAGACAGGCCATACACATATAAATAATACATATCAACCTGGTGAATCTGAATAAGGTTGATTGGTTGTATCAATGTCAACTTCCTGACTGAATTACTATACTATAGCTATGCAAGATATTGCCATTGGAGTGAAGAAATACAGGCCCTGAGTTATTTCTTACAACAGCATGTGAATCTACAATTATTTCAAAATAAAAAGAATAATGACACATGAACTTGCAACTTCGACTTTATTTTTAGAGATACATTCTTACATTTAAGCCCAGAAGTTTCTAAGTAGATTAGTTTTCTCATTTAAAAAAATTGAAGTATGGAAATTTTCAAACTTAAAGTGGAAACAGTAACACAAGGAAGCCATTACATTATTATAACCCTTCACTCATTTTTAACAATTTTCCACGGTTTACTAATTGTGTTTTATCTAACCTCACCTTGTTGTTTGTTCATGATGTTTTTCAGAGGTATTTTAAAGTAGTTCCAAGACATGTTATTTTTCCCAACATACTTTAGTATGCATATCTAAGAAGATTGAAGATTTTTTCAAATAGCCATCATGTAATTATTATATCTATCACAAAATTAATATAAATATTATTATCTAATACCCAGTGCTGATCCAAATTTACCCAATTGCTTTAAAGATGTCTATTGATAGTTTTTAAAAATCAGAACATTTTGCCTACTATTTCTCCTTTATTTTTCAAGAGTCCCTGCTTTCCCTTTTCCCTTTTTAACATTTTGTAGACTTTTTTTTTTTCCTTGAGAAAGCTACATTATTTGACCTGCAGAATATCCCATATTTTGGATTTGGTTGATTGTTTTCTTATGGCATCATGTCTTGCTTCTTTTACTCAATATTATGTTTTAAAATTTTACCCATGTTGTTATATGTTCACTTTCATGCTCTGAGGTATTCCTTGGACAAATGTATCACAATTTATGTTTTATTACAAGGCATCTTATCTTTTTCACATTCAGCTCAGCTCCCTTATCCACTTTTGTTTTCCTTCAAGGTACTTAGCACTACCTGACTTGTATTCCTGTGATGGTTAGTTTGTGTCTACTTGTCTAGGGTAAGGGATGCCCAAAAAGTCAGTAAAACATTTTTTATGGGTATGCCTATGAGAGTGTCTCCACATGAGATTAGCATTCAAATTAGTACTGAGTAAAGATTGTCTTCACCAGTGCCGGGGTTGGGGGTAATCATCCAATCCACTGGGGGCTTGAACGGAACAAAAAAGCAGAGGAAGGATGAATTTGAGCTGAGACAGTTTCTTCTGCCCTCAGACATCTGCATTCCTGTTCTCAGACTTTCAGATTCAGACCTGGACTTATACCATTGCTTCCTCTCTCCTGACCTTTACCTTCCTTTCTCAAGCCTTCACACTCAATTTGCTTAATTTCAGTTTTCTTCTCAATAGTGAATCTGTTAAAGGACTTTCTTTATTACTAAGATTCTGCTGGACAGTACTCAACCTTGATCAGGATTCTTAGTTGCAGACAACAGAATCCTTTCTAGAGAGTTTAAGCAGAAAATGATTTATTATAATTCTGATACACAAAACTTTTAGGAAGACCTGGGAACCAAGCTTGAATGCCATATAGAAATAATACAGCAGCCATACCTGTTGTTTCAAAAGAAAGTATTTTAATGGACAACAATACAATGAGTGCCCACCATTCATCACTTACAATGCTAAGGATCAGACAAAACATGTGTTATAACCACCCTGGAAAAACCAGATGCTTCTACATTAAGATCTAGTTTCCCTATATGTGGCCATCACCTCACCATTCTCACTTCTGCCTTCTATGCTAAACCTTGGTTACGAGGGAGTGTAGGGAATGTGGTTTTTAGCTTTCTAACCTCCAAAGGAGATGAAAGCATGCATAAATATGGAATGAGAGGGAGTTCAGAGAACTAATCTACAGTAACAGCCAGAGTGACTGCGGGTCATTAATTAACACTGTGGTCAACACTGGTAGAATGGGTCCCAGTTATAAGGGACAATGTAGTGCAGAGCAAAAACACTGGGCTTGTCCTAGGAGGTCTAGATTATGATGTTGACTCTGAAATAAGTTAGTATATGACCTTAGACAAGTCATTTAACCTACCTGGACTGTGTGCTTATCTATAAAATGAAACAACTGTTCTTAAAGATCCTTCTAGCTCTAACATTCTATGACTTGAAGATAATGAATAGGTAATATCTTTTGATTTCAGCAGTCTTCTTCAGAAAACTGCCCTATTAGTTAGCAATTTTTATATCTTCAGATTTCTATATTTAGTTTTTTTTTTCTGCTCTCAATTTGCCCATTAAATTATATTTTTAAACACCTTGGTATCCACACTGGGATTCTTTGAAACCATCTCCAAAGCTGATCTTTTCTTCTGGTATACAATTGTTTAACATGATGGATTGAAGAAGGAAACTCCAGGCTCTATTGTCGGAACAGGAAGTTGAAACTTGTTTTTCTGCTTTCGGTAAAATGGTTAATTAAAGCATCCCTTCATTTTCTTAGTCATACCAACAAAGTTACTTCCTCATCATTCTCAAAGTTGTTTCATAACGAATGTTTGTAAATAAAGGCTTAGATCTGTACAGTTATTCATCTATTTTTAGTACCTATATTCTTATTAGCCTCACATTCCTCAGGTGGATAGCTCATTGACAGGTTATATCAATATATTATGTTGGTTTACCTTTTGACTGGCTGCTTTACCTACCAGAAAGGAACACTAAAATAGTCTTTACAAAGATGTTTTCCCAACCCATAAGCACTAAATTACTTTGGTTGGAGAACATGTCAAGTTAAAGGGATATGTTGAACTGACATTATTCTGTTTTCCTGTCTGGAAATTCAGGGCTGAGTTACACAACAGGCATA